CCCGTTTTACCCCTTAGAGAGTAATCAGATGAGGAGTCAAGATTTACATAAAAATAAGAAACCATCTAAGATGTCAAAAAGAGAAAATAGTTGGATAACTACCTCTCCCGATTAACTATAGAGATATGCGGCTATCAAGTCACATCTATATATCATAATATATGATATCTGTATCTCCAGTTCATTTAGTTTTAAAAATTCAAAAACATTTAACGACATAGGAAAAACACTTACAGGCTAAATGGAGAAACAAACATATAGAATCCAAATCTTACATAAATTTTAAAATATTCTTTCAACAGTGAATTTCTTTTTTTAGAGTGTACATATATGTATGATACAGAAAATACACCCCAAGTGTTAAAAGTTATTTTTCCATGCTAAAATTAAAGGTGATTTTTAAAATATGTCTTTCAGATCATAAAAATTGTCTATTATTTTAATTTTCTTCATACGTTCCTATATTTCTGCATGTTCTGCAAAGAACAGATTTGCTGCAATCTGGAAAAAAGCACAGTGAAATGCTGTGGGCTCCTACCTCAAGAGAGAGGGAACTGAAGCTGGGAACGCTGAAGAGAGAGGCTGCCTCGGTTCCCAGGCCGTGGCAACACTGCACGATCCCTCCATCAGGAGGTAGTCCCTAAGAATGGCTGCACTACCATGGTGGGTTTCGAAGGAATTAAGGGATCCCCTCTATCCCCACGCAAGTTCAATCTAGAAAAAGGGTGTCCCTCTTGGGGATTCCGACGCATACGTCTGAGTTCCAGTGGCCAATCAACCTGGGAGAATCCCAGGGGGTGCGGACAGGGGGAGGCGCCAATGCAGTGGGATCCCCCAGCCCCAGTGGGGAGCTCCGGACCCACCGTCCCCCAGAGCCCACTGCAGAGGACAGGACTGAAGCACCACTGGGTGAAGCCCAGGCAGACTTCACAGGTTCCAGCCAAGTTCCTGGCCACAGATTAGACTGCAGACGCAGCAGCAGGGAGAAGCATAAAGAAAGGCATTATGACTTGAGAATCAAACGGCCAAGTCCACGATCTCTAAAAACTTACTCGCGAGAAAAGTGACCTGCCTTAGGCTACATGCAGGATGCTGAGCAGGGCAGTGAAACTGCGGGAGAGCCCCGCTGAGCCCGCTGCCCACTGTGTCCTTGCCCCCACCCCTCAAGTGTCGTAGAAGGCACCGCCTGCTGTGCCTGTTGGTGGTTGGGTTAGTTGGTCAGCTCAACACGAGCAGAGACAGAATCCAACTTTCATCTTAGAGAACCAACCAACTAATGGTTAAGAGCTCCGGAATGAGGCTGCGAGCGGCCCTAGAGAAGTCCCCTCACCCCCGGTTTCGCTTCCTCACGGATGAGCCCAGGATGGGACCATCAGTACCTCCTTTCTGGGCATCACAGGTGACACTGCAGGTAAAGTGCTCACACAGTGCACGGCCCACTGGAAGCACCGAAATAGCTCTATTGTTTCACAAACACCTTACTAACAGGACTAAGTGAGTTCAAAAACTCAGAGTCCTGGACAGAAAAAAGGCCTAAAGAAATTAGGTTTTGTTTTATTTCAAACTAAATTTATTCAAACCCAAACCTCCAGGTTCAGGGGAGATTTAAGTTTAAAAGGAAGTACATCACTGCCATCAGATGGCGCAGCGGCTGCACCTGCAACATGTGATGTCTAGGACAAGACAGGGCATGTTGCAGGAACAGCACACAGAACAGCTCTGCAAACACACTGGAGGGAAGCACCCAAAGGTCTAACCGAAGGTAATGTCATGGGGCCAAAATGTATTTCCTTTAGGGGCAACAGTTCTATTCTTAACAATAAACCCCAGGGCCAGAGACCTCAGAGACTGTCTCATCTGGGAATGTGGAAACCACCCAGCCCATCAGAGACAGAGGTAACATCTGTCTTGACTCAGTCCTCCCCACTCCCCACTCCGACGCTGTCAGGAACACTTCACAGTGGTGTAAACCCCCAAAGAGCCCGACACCCACAACAGAACAGCCCCTTCACATCCGACCAGAGTGCAGACCACCCGGTTGTGTTGGTCTCTGACACAAATGCTGCATCCTCTTACCCAGAGGGATCCAGGACAAAGAGAGAAAAGCCAACAGCCCAACCAACCTAGGCACACCCGCAGCCCCCACAGCTGTGTGAGCCCATCCCAAGCACCAGGTGGGTTTTCAGTCCAGGTTCTTCCTAGGTCCCAAATCAGGCAGCACTGCCTGCAACCAGCAGCAACAGTGTTACTCCAGGCAAAGAGAACTGCAGAGCCTCAAAAGAGCATGTAAATACTATCTATTCATTCATAGGCATCAAGTAAATAACGCTGGGAAGCCTGAAATAACTTCCACACATACCTAATGATTCAGTTGCATTTCATTAATTTTGAAAGTACAGACAACGTTTTAGCATGGATGTTCATGGGGGTAATAATTCATAAATGCTGTCCTCACTCATATGATGAATGTGTAAATAAACTCACATGTATATATGTTCAAAACACGGTGCAAATTTGCTTTCTGAAGGAACGACAACTCAAAATTTTCATTTTGAAATAAGATTCTCGGGACTCATAATTTTACAGTTCTCATGAAAGCACGCCAAAGCCACCCAGGTGCCCAGGGCTTCCTCCTAAAGAAACCATGCCGACACAGCCTCTACTTCCTTTGTGCATCAGGCCCGCACCCCACGTGCTGCCATAGCGTGACTGCTAATAAACGTCAAAATTCAATCATCTTTTATGTCAAGTTTTGTTTCTCCACATATTTCAGTCAAAGTCCACTGCAGAAACACACAACACAGATAAACAAAACTCACAGGATGAAAGGGGCTTTTCCGCTGGTTTCCTGAACCAGAAAAGCCAATGTGGCACCAGCTACTCCGAGCATCACCCCAGGAAATTTGCCGAGAAATGGGGCCAGCTAAGCGGAGGACAGAGACGCCCAGTTCCCCTTGACATCAAGTGAGGAAGAGTGGTCTTCTCTAAGACGGGTTTCCTCTTACCCAGTGCTCCCATCTACAACTGGGTCAAAAATCTTTGAATGGAATATTCCTCATCAGTAGAAAGGGACAAACTAGTGACACATGCGACACCTTGAATGAATCCCAAATGGAACTGTGCTGAGTGAAAAAGCTCAATCCCAAAAGGCTACATGTTCTCTGATTCCATCCATATAACGCTCTTAAATGACAAAATCACAGAGATGGAGAACAGATTAGCAGCTGTCAGGGTTAGGGACTGGGAAGGGGGCAGGACATGCCAACTCTCGAACTTTCTCTGAGTGAGCTGCGTCTTGGAAGCCAGCCAGCCCCGTGGACAACCACGTGCGCCTGCCATGAACTGTCTTGGCCACCTGAAGTGGGTGTGGCTATAATGTACCGTTCTGTATCTTGACTCTGGTGGTGCATACTGGAACCTATCCACGTGATACAATTGAACAGAAGTAAATTCATACCCAAATGAATACATACAACGCTCTGGAACCTGAATAGCTGTGGATTCTATCGACACTAATTTCCTGGTCTGTTACTATTGTTTTGCAAGATGTGACCATGGGGGAAACTAGGTAAAGGGTATGACTTCACTTACAGCTACATGTGGTTCTATGATTACTTCAAAATAATAAGTTTAATTACAAAAATAATAAGCAGGTTTGCCCTGTCTTTTTGGTTGGTTTGTTTAGTTTGGCTCGCATAGACCAATAAAGAAGGCAATTCCTTTCTTCACTGGATTGGTGTTTACAAAAATGAGCCAAGCCTGTTGACACGATTCACGCACTGAACTAGGATCAGTTTCTCTGGCCCAGGAGCCCATCCTGCCCCTCAGGAACCAGAGCTCACAGCTCCTGAACCCTGACCTTCTCCACTGAAGTTGGCAAAGATGCTTGCTACGTAAGTTCTTTCCTGGGAACGGGCACAACTGCCTGGGTTCTCTCTCCCAGCTGCTGCCAGGCACCCAGGGCTCCTCAGGTCACATCTGATAGAGGGCGCCTTCTCTGGTGGAAAAGCTCTGGAGAGGACGAGGGACAAAACCAGCCCCCAAGGCGGCTCTACACTGGGCAAGTGGGCACACGGGTGAGGACGCCAGGACTCCCTGACAGAGCTGGGCTAAAGCGAAACCACAGGCAGCAGGCTGGAACAGGCCAAGACCGTCCTTGGCTGACACACGGCTGTATGCTGGGCTGGCCACCTTCCAACACCCAGCTCGCTCAGAGAAAGTTCTGGAGCTGGAGTGTCCTAGTAGTTCACCAGGGCCAGGCGAGACACCTGCCCGAGCTGACCCACAGCGACATTCCTGCTTTTCCAGCAGCCTGGGGACCTTGCTGGTGCCCTCGAACTCCACATCAGCCTTTTGTGACAAAACTTCATCACACTGTATCAACCTAAAGGTCCTTTGTGGAGTTCCGTGTCTGTCCTTCGAGATCCCCTGTGGCCTCCCTTTTAAGGAGAGCTGGCACACACTGCTTACACTCCCTGGTAACTCCCTGCTGATTCAAAGAATCCAAAAGAAGAAAATTACAGGAGCGTCTTTGCTGTTTCCGCCGTCATTGTCTGCAGGGTTAGCTTTCTCCAATTCATTCCACAGGAGTTTATCCTCAATGTCTCCCAGTGACAATAATGAAGGCACCTCCCTCTCCCCAAAATGTGCCATTAGGGACAAGCATACCCATGAAAACATATTTCAAGAATAATATTATTTTTTCAGATTCTATAAACCAACCCTTCAATAGTCATTTACTCAAAAAGCTGAACAGCTTTCAAATCACCGACACTGCCCAGCTTCCGAGCCGCCAAAGAATTAACCAGCGACTCTTCCACAGGGATAAAAATTACAGCCCATATAAATTAAATATATAATTTGATTAAACATGTTTATGTCTTTGCGATGACATTTAAAATAGAAGTAATCATTTTCTTTCTTAAAAGAAAAACTCTTTCAAATATAATTTGAAGCTGTCAAGCCTATTTCCTGCCACAGATCTTTTAAATGTCACATACCTTCGAAAGGGGATGGCAGCTTCCTTTTAAATATGCAATTCCAAACAGTGCGTTCTGAACCAAGCCTGTATTAAAATACACCGCTGGCATTTATCCTGATTAAGAATAGCCCTCTCCCCTTGCTCCTGATGGATCTGCTCAGGAGCAAGCACCCAGCCGCTCTCTCCCCATCTAACTCCAGAGTGGTTGGTGCCACTGCAGCTGGCCGTGACCCACAGGGCCCGACACCAAGTCACACCCCCAATGCCTTAAGGGGGCAAAGGTATCCTCTTATGATTCCCACAGTTTCCCTCCCAGCTATCTTGCTGAACTCTGCGTAACCCAATTTTGGCATAGCATCAACGGCCCAATTGTAAGACACTGTTAATCAGATGCAAAGCAAACTCCGAACTCATTCTCCTAAGTCAATGACCTACATATTCAATTGCTTATTCTCCAACTCAGTAGCAAACACCGAGCTATATTTAAACACACAGCACAGATGTATCTTTCTCCTGAAAGGCGTAGAGATACAGATAAGCCTCATACTCTAGCCCTCCTCCTCTTCTCAACTTAAGGAATGCAAACCTTGTCAACATCAACTGTTTGGCGAACTATGAAGAGAACAGGATGGTCCATGCCTCCATTATTTTAATAAGAAAGTACTAAGTGTCATTTTTGTAAAAAGCAAATGTGAGCAGCAACTCCACTGGAACTAAGCGAAGTGAAGCCTGGTTCACACCTGCCTCCCCAGCACCTGGCAAATAGTAAGCAATCGGAAAGAAAATGGATGGAACGACTTAAGTCAGTTATGTGTGGGTAACAAGCATGTTACATACCAAGTGTCCAAAGGGGATGCAAATACTCCTTAACTGCTGAACCTCGGTACTAGGAACTGACATCTGAATAATCCTGGACCCAGTGGAGATGACAGCAAGAGGAGCAGAGAGCTCTCAGAGTCTAATCTAAGACTGGGTCGGGGGGACTGGCTTTTCACTGCCAATCTCCTGCTATCTTGCCCAAATTTGATGAAATGAGGGCAAGTCAGCGCCCCCAACCAATGTTGGAGGAGGATCCTAAGAACATCAAACCTTAAGATGGCAGGTTTAAGAGACCAAATAGAAGATGGATCCCAACCCAGCCCAAAACCACAACAGGTAGCCTCCTCCTGGGAAAGGGGTGCCGTACTCAGGGGAAGGGCAGGTCAGGGAGGGGCCAAGACCACATCCCACAACTCCGGGGGGAGGCTTGTAGACAGACTGCAGTGCAGAGGACCATGGCTGAGGGGACGCACTTCACAACCAAAGCCCAGATCCAGGCCTGAGTCCAGAGACCTCAGCTGCAGACACTTTCCTGCCCTATCCAACTGTGTGACCTGAGGCAAGTCCCTCCGCCCCTCGGAAACCAACTTCTCAGGAGTAAGGAGTGGAATGCCACCCAAAGACACCAGGATTCCCCAACGCAAGGTCTAATTCCATTTAAAATAGGCAATCATGAAACAAATAAAGCCAATTCTCAGTCACTGGGGCTTGAAAGAAATCAAGAGGGTGGAGAAGGAAGAGTTATAAAGGAGACTCCTCTTTGTCTTTGGATTCAGGCAAATTCCCTTTCTTGGGCAGCAAACTCCGCCCCTACAGCGTGGAGAAGAAGGGCTGGTAAGCACCACCCATGAGGCCAGAAAGCATGGATGAACTGAAATTCAGAGTGGGCCCAGGCCCATCAATCAGTAAAGTGATGCTCATGTTCCTTCTTGACCACACTGGCCCTTCTGATTGCTTCCTGCACCCCCAGCCTCTCCCTAAGAAGGGAGCCTTCCTAGTTAACACCACACATACTCCCATCTCCCCACAGCTTGGCCCACAGAAGTGATCAGCCAGGTTCCTCCCAGTCAACTCTCCAGGGCTCCAATGTTGCATTTTGAGCCTTGCTATCAAGCTTTCATTCTTATCACCTACCAAATATATATACACATCTTCATACAGTCATGCATCGCTTAACGACGAGGATCCGTTCTGAGAAAATCATCATTAGGCGATTTCATCGTTGTGCAAACATCAGAGAGTGTACTCAAGGGGATCAAAATTTGCCACTCCAAAATGCATCTCTTTAAGATGAGGATTACTTTAGGCTGATTATTTTTAAGAAACAAACTACTCAGAAAGTTTCTCTTCTTACCTCTCCCTTAACTGCCTCAGAGAATTCGGATTAAAAAGACCTCTCAGGAAGCCAGCTATCACCTTAGCATCACAGGAACTAGGTGGGAGACAGGGAGGAACCTAGAAAAGCCTGTTTGTTGGGCTCCCTCTGTGTTCTTCTGTTTCTGTGCGGCCAAACACTTGTTTTTCAAAGTTTGCTCCTTTCTACCTACCTGTGAATTGCCTTCCTTCACTTTGAAGTCCCTGACTTTCCTCACCTGCAATATCCTCTTTTGTCTTTAGCTGAGGATGGTATTTAAGGTGAGGGCTTCAGCCATTTTGGCAAGTTACTCAGTTTTCCTGGGTTTCTCTTATGCATACGTGTTATTAAACTTTTTGTTTTTCTCCTGTTAATGTCTCATGCAACTTAATTCTTAAGACCAGCCGGAAGAACCGAGGGTAGAGAAAAATTTCTTCCTCCCCTACAGTACTTCCCTAGGCTACATGGTACTAATCATACGGGACCACCATTGTATATGTGCTCCACATTGACCGAAGCATTGTCACGCGGTGCGTGATTCCACATGTGCATATTTATATATACATCCAAAACCCTGGTGAGGACTCTTGATGGTCAAAGCAAGCAGCCCTTTCTCAGCTGCCACTCATCTTCCCAGCTGAACCTCACACATACCACTCTCGCCATTTTGATACTCCAACAAGAGAGGCAGGTACTATGAAGAGAGGCAGACCTGCAGATAAACACAACAGAACCTTGTCTTCAGGGAGTTCCAACAAGCAACAAGAACAGAACATCCTGTGCTAGAGACGCAGACACGGAAGGAGAGCTGGAACTCTGCTTAAACTCCCATTCACACGCTCCCAGATCAGTTCCTTCTGCCAGTCCCGCTAAGGAGCTCCGGACGCACCTCATCACCTGCCTTCCAGACATTTGCTCGCCAACTGCAGGTCCCACCTACCCCTGAAACTCAGCTCACCCACAAGCACAGTCATCATCGCCTTACCCCTTGGAGTCCCTGTCTCTAACCAAAACAAACCCACACCCAGCCCTATCTTCCAGTTTGGGTTACTGGAACCACCCAGACCTGCCCCAACTCTTGTCCACCTCCAGGTGTGAGAGGCCAGCAAGTCATCCCGACACTGCCCCTGCACATCAATTCCTGGGCACGAAGTAAAATTCCAACCATCGTCTCTAAAACACCTATCAAAAGCCCCACTGAAGTAAATACTTTTTTGGAAGAGAGAATGACCCACTCCAGTTCAATTGATCAATATCAATTGGCCTAGAGGCCGGCCCCGTGGCCGAGTGGTTAAGTTCACGCACTCCGCTTCAGCGGCCCAGGGTTCGGATCCTGGACGCAGATATGGCACCACTCGTTAGGTCATGTTGAGGCGGCATCCCACATGCCACAGCTAGAAGGACCCACAACTAGAATATACAACTATGTACTGGGGGGATTTGGGGAGAAAAAAAAAAATGCACTATCTGTGACGCGCAATAAAATGAGATGTATATACCTGTACACAGCTCCCGGTAATGAAGCATTCTCTTTATGACCAGCTGAAGGAGACATGCTGTCTCTCTAAACAGAAAGAGAGAGAGCTGTTCACAATAGCCAACTACCCTGAAATTTGCAGTTGCTGTGTTTGCATTTTTTATCAGCTCTGGCCCTTCCTCAATCTCATCCCCTCTTCTAGCATCCTTTTTTTTTTTGCTGAGGAAGATTCACCCTGAGCTAACATCCATGCCAATCTTCCTCTATTTTTTAGTATGTGGGCCACTAACAGAGCCATGTAGGTCTACACCTGGGAACCGAACCCAGGCCGCCAAAGCAGAGGGCGCTGAACTTAACCACTAGGCCACCTGAGCTGGCCCAGCATCCTATGTTTTTGAGTCCTCAAAGTACTTGCTTGAAAGAGGCAGGATATAAATAAATAAAATGGAATCCACTCAAGAGGACACATTAGTAGCCCTATAAACCAAGTCTCCGAAAGCACTGGCCCTAGAGAGAGCTCAAGAAGCTGGCAGAGGCCTCCAAGGCCAGCGGGGCCAGCATACCCAGGGCGCCAGGCTCTTGGAGGGCTCAGCTCACAGGGTGGCTGATCTGCAGGGAGCTGTCTAGATCAGCCGCTCAGACAGCATCCTCACGCTGAAACAAACCAGAAATAACGTGCTGCTACATGATTATCAGCAGACTCCAAAAACCAACCTGTCAGTCATGGATGCAAAAAGGTGGGCACAGATGTTAGGAAGAAGCAGGAACCAAGGGGCCTGACCCTCAGGCTTCCCTGGAGAGCACAGTATTTGGGGAGAGACGTAGCTGGAAAAATCAACGAGCGTTCTGAATACCCAGGGAATGCCAAGAGAAGCAGGCCCCCTCTAAATAAAGAGGGCCTGGTTACTCTTTCCAGAGCGGTGAACTCCACAGCCCACTTGCAGCAGAGCAAATGGTGCAGACTCTGCATCTGTCTTGCTGGTGGAGGGACCAAGGGAGAAGAGAGCGGCCCCCCCACCTCATGGCACCACCCTCAAGTCAACAGTCTAGTAAATGGTTTAAAAAGTAGCTCCACCTTCCATACACGATTGGTAGCAGTGTAAAACTTTATAACTGCTTTATAAAACTAAACACACACCTAGTTTATGACCCAGCGATTCCATTTCCAGGAGTTTACCTAAGAGAAATGAAAACATATGTCCATAAAAAGACATGTACAAGAATAGTCCACAGCAGCTTTATTCAGAATAGCCAAGAGCTGGAAACAACCCAAGTGTCCACCAATGGGTGGATGGGTAAACAGCAAGGTAGGTTCCTGCAGTGGAATACTAGGCAGCAAGTAATAAGGAACAAGCAATCGAGCCAGGCTACAGCAATCAAAAATCTCAAAAACATTACGTGGAATAAAAAAAGCTTTTGCAAAAAGGTATATATAGTATAATATGCATGTATGTATAACATGTATATATGTACATTATATAGTATTATATTAAGTTTTGGAACAGGAAAAATAAACCATGTTGGGGGGGGGGGGAGTGGTTGCCTGAGATTGGGGAGATTAGAGCCGGGACTGCCTGGAAACAGCCATGAGGGAACTTTCTGGAGTGACAGTATGTTCTAAATCTTGATAGGGCCTTGGGGTCCACAGGTGCATGTGTTTGCCAAAACAAATCGATTGGCAGACTTAGGATCTGTGCATTTCATTTTACCTCCTGCCCCCACTCCCACACCCCTGACCACCTCCCCTAAGTTTTACCTCAAAGGAAAACAAAACAAAAGGAACCACAAACAAGCACAGGCAGACCTGGGGGAGGCGGGGGCCGGGGGGGTGTATGTCAGTTCACTGTAGAATCACGTCCACTTGGGGAAACTTTTAATCAATCCACAGAGGTCCTGTCTCTGGAATGAGGACCACAGAAACCCCTGGGAGGCAGGGGCCATTTCTCTACCAAGAGGTGAAATCCCGGAGGCCCAGGGAAAACCACCACTCCAAATCAACGTGTGGGAACAGCGTGCATCCAAGTAACGCCCGTCTCCCCACGAACAGGTTTATGAATTCAAGGAGGCCCAGGACACACCTGGGACTGTTGGCATTAATTCAGGCTGCTGAAACAGGAGGTCCCCGCACAGGAAAAGGGCCTCGGTCGGAGTAGACCCCACGGTAGTCACCTCTTCATCATGCAGGTACCAGGGCTTTGAGGCAGGAGAAAAGAACCCCAAGAGCAGACCGCAGGGTTTCTGAACCACCGCCCCCCTGCCGCCCCGCCCCGCCCCGAAGCCTCTGCAGGGGCAGGGCAGCCTTTTGGCCGCAAACAGCTCCCAAAGAGCAAAACCATTTC